GACTCATTCCTATTTATAAATAAATGATTTGGTGTTTGAAGATGAAGTGGTTTTATTCGTTGAGAGTTATTAGACGATAAATAATTTATATACGTTTAAGCGTAAGCGAATTAGAATATAAATGTATTTATTGTCGTTTAACGGGTCAACGATGACGTGTCTTAGGAGAAAGGTTATTAGGAGGTACAGGGGGCGCTGTATTCAAAAGGTGAACAGATCACGTGAGGAAGGGAAACGATCATTCGAAGTCGAGCTACGCTAATGTACAGACATTCCAGTTTATTCCAAATAAAAGTTTTTGTATAAAAACATTTGTATAAAGATGGGGTTTGATTATGCGTTATAAAATTATCAGATTCATGTAAGTACGAGCTGTACCGGAATTGGAATTAGGCTATGTGGGAAATGTAACTGGTGACGGAGCAAACGTTTGTATGTAATATTGTATCGTCTGTACACAGGCAGAGGCACATCGACTCATTCCTATTTATAAATAAATGATTTGGTGTTTGAAGATGAAGTGGTTTTATTCGTTGAGAGTTATTAGACGATAAATAATTTATATACGTTTAAGCGTAAGCGAATTAGAATATAAAAAGTACTTACTACCTACGTCCGCTGCGATTTAATTTTCATCCTGCGACAACGCTACGCCTGACAAGAACTCCGAGGACGCACGATCTCTAAGCACGCACGACGGGTTGTAAGAGAGGCTTAACTGAGAAGCCCTCATTTTATAGGGAATCGTTCTAAGTCCTGCGTGCCCAATAACTATTACTAAATGTGTGTAATTTATAGGAATAATAAAAGAACTAAATGTAACATACGTGATTATTAGGAAGTATGATAAAACTAAATGCAGGGACTACATTTCATAGTAGCCCTGAACACGGATATGTTCTCCGGGTAGGAAGGTTACATAACGCTCAGACCGGGGATTGGCCTCAACTAAAATATTCCCAGGTGTAGTGACTGTTTTAGATGGAAGAGATCAAAGAAGCGAAATGACTTAAATGAGGCCCAAGGAATTTCCGCGATTTTAAAATCGTCACCGGTTTCCTATTTCTGACATCTAAGAGGGGTGTAACTTCAATTAACTAAATTTATTACTTTACCGGGACTTTTGTTTCTAATTTTGGTTTCTCTTCCGTGATTGTGAATGTGATTTAAGGACAGAGACAAATTGTATAACACTACCGTGTTATATAAGCAAAAATTAAAAACGGCGCCTTCGAATAAAAGAAAAAATAAAAACTTCACGCGAAAAAAAACTACAAATACAAAAATATGAATGCAAACACGTTTGCATTGTATTTTTCTAATCAAACACAACACGTTTGCATTGTATTTTTCTAATGATTTATTAGGTACTAAGTATAGGCGCCTTCTATCTTACTCACCTGCTTTTTTCAAAAACATAAGGTCGGATCCAGCCTCCTGACCTAATTTCCACAAAAAAAAAAAAAGAGAAGAAAACAGACAGACTCTGAGATGAATACAGATATGAATGCTGGCCCAATGTAATGAGGAGCTCAAATATCCCAGTATATCTAAGACAAAGGCTTCATAAACGATAACTGCTCATTGTGGTCCATCGACTCAGGAATTTGGGATCGCAAACGACGAATTGACGACTCACACCGCGATTTCGTGGCGCGAACGTAAAAATAGTGGTCGAGAGCATGGCGTAAAAGAGCGCTAACTATCTGGCCAGCTTTCACCTGGTTCATGTTTTTGTAATGTTATTTTTCTCAACCCCAAACTATTTTCAGTGCGGCAGCAATGCACTCTAGACAACATCTGGAAACAAACGACGTGCCGAACGAGTAGGCAAGCAGATTAATGGTTCGCGATTTGCATTGTGGTGTTCGCGACCACTATTTTTACGTTTGCGATATTAAAGCACGGATTAAGTCGTTAATACTGCGTTCGCCATCACAAACCCGAGACTCAAAATCACGAAAGGATATTTCGTTTTAAGGTTTGAAACAAAGAGCTCCACTTGCTGGCAATTTATGTAGAAACCAGATTAGCATTTCAAGATGAACGCGTTTCTCAATCAAAAGCATTTCAAAATGAAAGCTTACTTTGCTGTCATCGTTTTAAGCAAATTCTTTGAAAAATATTAAGACCTAATGATGCCCAAAACATAGAGAATGAAAGATAACATTTGGCGAACGTTGGTTTTGAACATGACAATCCTCTCCGGGATGTGCCTTTATGCATGAATCCGTGGCTATGTTTATCTAAGCATTCATTAGTGTGTTGGCTCCTGGTTCTGAAAACATCAAACGCAACAGAACCGGTCTGTATCAGTTTGGTCGCAGCGCCTCAGCTCTCTGCATTTTGTTTGGCGTGGGATTAAGTCAGAGTCAACAAGATCGGTTTTCCAACCTTCTCGAGCTTCTAAAACTACAGGTTCAGATTGAGAAAACGGGGGAGTTCCTAGGCATGGATTGTCCAACCCTGTTCCAGCAGCCTGGGGTTTCACGTTATTTGAGGTCTGAACCCAGAGGTAAGAAGCAACTCTCTCTCTCTCTCTCTCTCTCTTACAGTTTTTCATCATAAACAATGTCATTAATTTAAACGTTTTCGGTTTTTATCTATACACAGTCTCTTTTTATCAACTGTAAATTCCATAATGAAGATTTCACATTTAAACGTATTACTGCACATTATCTGCGTGTATATTCACTATAGTGTCGGCAATCATTCCCCTCTACAGCCCTCTGTCTTCGGGAGTTCTCAGCATGTCTGTTAATTACCTAAGTATGTCCCATCTACTGTGCAAAGCTATCCAGCCTATTTGCACTTTGCCTTCCCTTGCTTCTTTTCCTACCAACGTTCCCTACGTTACCAGTTGCTTTATACTTCACTTTTTCTTTACATGTCCTAAGACATTAAACTGGATTGTTTTTTCTGGTTTTCTTTAAGAGTATTATGTGTTGGCATCTGCTTCCCCTTGGAGTTTTGTGTGTGTGTGTGTGTGTGCAAGGTACACGTACGCATCATATCCTGACTGGTGTTTTTAACTTTAAATTTCTTACTGGCAGTCCATGTTTTACAGCTCTGCATTATTGAAATTATCCTATGTAGCATTGTACGATTCTCATTTTTTTTCTGTTGATACTAGCAAGACACATTCTTGATCCTAGGTTGAATTGACTTTAATTACCGTATATAGTAATAAAAGTAATAAAACTACCCAGACATTATAATCACTGACTTGTTTTGATTCAGTATTGTTTCTATAAATGTTACATGCATGAACGTACTTTTACTATCCACGCTCAAAACAGGAATCCCAAATTGGTGCATAACATCCAATGTTACATCCCAGAACCAAGATGGTTCTCTGAGTTATCAAAAAATAATGTATAAATAACAAGAAGATTGCTTCGACTAATCGAAAAAGCCGGATGAAATTAAACACTCATTTCAGATATCTAAACGTCATTTCCCTCTTAATTAGCGAAACTCCGTTCAACTTACTTCAGTGCCCCATGGTGACCCTGTTTGTGATGTTTTACACTGCCAACCAAAATTACCGCAACGACTAGCCTAAATAATTACCTCTTTTTCACGTGACGTGGCAGTAATTTTGGATGGTGGTGACGCACGTTTGACCCATTTCCGGTGTGCTCTCCACTTTGTTCGTTAGTTGTAATAATAATAAATAATAAATTTATTTTAAGTCTAAAATCTATTTTAAACGTTCCATTTTAAACGTAATAGATTCCATTCCTTTGGACCTGCAGCTTTAAAAGATATATCACCGTAGGTTTTTAATCGCATTTTTACTGGGTTGAGTAGCAATTGGTCTGCAGACCGCAGATTACGCATTAGAACATAGTGACTGACTAATTCATTGATGTAGATTGGTGCCAATCCATAAAAAGCATCGTGAGTAAAAACTAAAAATTTGAATAAAATTCTGGCTTGTAGAGGTAGCCAGTGTAAACTTTTTAAAACTGGGGAGATGTGTATACTTGTGGATGTCCGAGTTAATAATCTGGCCGAAATATTTTGAATGCGCTGCAGTCTAGCAATTTGTTTCTTTGGACAACCGTATAAAATGGAGTTGCAGTAATCTAATCGAGATGTAACTAAACAATTTATAACTGTGGCTGCAGCAGAGTCAGACAACTGATTGCGAATTGCACTTATGTTCCTAATGTTAAAAACCGCTGACCTGCATACACTGGCAATATGTTTGTTCATACAAAGTGATCCATCTAAAAATACACCAAGATTTTTTGCATGAGGTGTTGGCTTAATAATGCTTGATCCAATTTTGAGCTGAATTTGTTGTGCTATCATACGATTATGTGGCTGACTTATTACCAAAAGTTCAGACTTTCCATAGTTAATTTTCAACTTATTACTAATCTTATTACCACCCGCGAAGATCATCAATACATTCAGACAATATATCAATAGATTCATTTGGATTTTCTAGATTGCAACAAGTAAAAATCTGTGTGTCATCAGCATAAATATGATAGCCAATGTTATGATGTCTTAGTATGGCCCCATTTGGTAAGGTATACATGCTAAAAACAAGAGGTCCTAGAACACTGTCTTGCGGCACACCAAAAACTATCTCTGAAACATTTGATAATATGCCTTTTATCATAACCTGCTGTAACCGGCCTGTAAAATAAGAACGTAAAAGACTAAGAGCAGAGTTGTGAGGGCGTGCGCCTTACTCAACACGCAAAGGGCACTTGATCCTTCATTGCTTGCGACGTGCGTCTTGCACAACGCGCGCCTCTCTTGTTAACTCCGTGCGAGGAGAGCAAGTTACGCTTGCAGTTTCGCTGTTCGCAGGCTATTCGTAGAATCTTTAGGACATGTCCAACATCCTCCGTACGTGCTTACGGGCTGTCTGCGAACTCGAAATTGCGTTAGAAGAACTTGCGTGGGACGTGAGATTCTGCGCAAAATTTGGACGCAAACAACCCGTAAGAGCCCGTACGGCCGGTTGTGACCGAGGCTTTAATGGGAATTGTTTTCACTTTAAAAAGGAAAGGGATGCAGGCAAAGCGGCACGCTTACAATAGGGAACATTTAAATGGTTTTCCAGTACAGCCCGGCCAATTCCAGACAGTCTGCGTGGATGAGAGACTCCCAACCAACAGATCACAGTTCGGCAGAGTGTGGTTTTTCGGAGGATCTGTGAGAAACAACCCCTTGGTTGTATTCGACTCAGTAGAGGCCATGAAGTGCAAAAACTCACGTGAGACCATCAGACTCCCATACAACTGGGCAGGCACTGGACATGTTGTATACAGGAATTCTGTTTACTTTATGCGTGCAAACTACAAAAAAGTGCCAATGTATCCTCCATTTTACATACTACAAGATCACAGTCATATACTCAAAATAAAATAAGATTTATGAAGTTTTGTGGAGGGGGAGTCAAATTTTCATGGGGTAGTCAGATTTTCATTATGTGCACATTTTTAATTTTCTTATTTTTTCTTATCCTCCATTTTACATACTACAAGATCATAGTCATATACTCAAAATAAAATAAGATTTATGAAGTTTTGTGGAGGGGGAGTCAAATTTTCATGGGGGGAGTCAGATTTTCATTATGAAAATCTGACTGGGTGGGTCATATTTTCATGGGAGTCAGATTTTCATGTTACACGGGAACGTGACTGCGAACTGTAACCTGGTCATCACCAAGATCAACCCCGATACTCTCAACGTGGAGAATTTGTGGCCGACGACCATTAGCAGTGGAAGCTTGGGAAACACTTTCATGAAATGTGGCGTGCTTTACGCCACGAATTCCTACAGTGAAATGTCCACTTACATCCGCTATACCTATATATCACCAACACTGGGAAACAAGAGTCACACATGGNTTACACTACCACTGACTTTGCCGTGGACGAGTACGGGCTGTGGTTAGTGTACGGGAATATAAGTAACAACTGTAACCTGGTCATCGCCAAGATCAACCCGGACACTCTCAACGTGGAGAAATCGTGGGCGACGACCATTAGCAGTGGAAGCGTGGGAAACACTTTCATGAAATGTGGCGTGCTTTACGCCACGAATTCCTACAGTGAATTGTCCAATTACATCCGCTATACCTATGACACCAACACTGGGAAACAAGAGTCGCTTCCACCGAATGGGATCCCGTTCAAACCACCTGGTAAATACAACACCATGTTAGATTATAATCCACATGACGGTCTTCTGTATTATGCAGATATGATTAAGGGAAATCTTGCCACTTTTCCAATTGTCTAATCAATGAAACAAGATTTCGGCTACAAACAAGAAAGCCAAGAAATAAAAAAAGTTGAAACAATGTTGTTGTTTGTCAGAATCTCTAATTTCTCACACAGTAGGCCTATGTGTAAGAACGTGTGTGTGTGTGTGTGTGTGTGTGTGTGTGTGTGTTTGTGGAAGGGGGGGGGGGCGTGTTCTTGGAGGGTGAATTGCTACATATATATGTGTGTGTGTGTGTGTAAATTTATATCTGTGTAATGCATGTTTATTTTTGTAACTATTTCGCAAATTCACTTGTGTCGCAAACTGTGTGCTGACCTTTAATCAACTTTGTGTCCATAAAAGCTTCATCTTAAGCCACCAAACGTCATCCAACCCCCGCGTAGACGTGACATTATGGACGCCATCGCCTGACGTAAACTAAACACCTGTTCATACCATCAGAGGGCTAGGCACCAAGCGATGTTGTTGTAAGTCAGCTTCTTGACACCAGTACCGCCGCCATTACGTTAAGACTCCGGAAGTCTTTATCGCAATAACAAAGATAAAAAATATATGTACTGTAATATATTATAACACAATGCATGTTATGTCGTGTGAGATAACGTAGTTATTTCGCGTGCAGCCCTCTGCATCAACTACACTCAAACGATGGGAATGAATGGGGATATACAGCGACGGTAAACGTATTCTTTTCCACCATGAGTCAAGACACCGTCAGCACATATCGTCATCACCAGGGTACCCACCACTGTCTCCTGACCTCGGGGACAGTGCGTGTCTGATATAACACCAAGTAGGCGGACATATGTTGAGTATCTCACCAGTATCGGGCAGAGTCGACGCCATGCTGTTCCTTTTAGCGCTGGTATCTGTGGTTGGTTTAGGCCTGGCCACCCCGACTAACTATAACTGGGGGCAGTGCTTGTGTTTGACAGGGACCAATGTCAACGTGCGTAGCTCAGGTAAGTGAAAGGGATTTTACCAAGAAAAATGATTAGAAAAAAGTTAGAGAGCTGAATAGATATGTAATATTTTTAATAAATATAAGGTAAATGAAAATGAAAATGAAAACCATAAAAATAGGATTGAATAGAATTAAATTGACAGATTATGAAAATGTCAGAATATTATTAAAGAATTGATCTATATAGAAAAAAGGTTCCCCGTTTACGTGCTTGTCCATTGATTCATTTCTGCTTCTCAAATTGCAAAAAGCACGCTCTGACTTCCGACCTTTTTTTCTAAATACTCGGTGTCTCCAGTTATTGGAACCAACTGAAATTATCAAATGCCGAAATTTAAACGGACTTTAATGTTTCAAAAGAAGTGCGTACACAAACAACGAACACGCTCAAACCGCGGAACAAGGAAATAATTGGTCTGCATGTATATTGGATAATTGGTGATTATGTTTCAGCTTGTGGAACCAAAATTGGAACCGCTTCATCTGGCCAATGCTTCACATCTAAAGCGTCCAGGTTAACCTCCTGCGGCTACGTGTGGTATAAAGTGAACTACAATGGCAAGGTAAGTAAGTTAGATATAATGACCCTCATAGGGGAATATTGTAGAGGCGTGCCGGAACAAAAATGGTGGACTCAGCCCCGTTTCGTTGCAAAATGAATAGCAAACATTTATCTTTATGACATCGGATTGTCGATATTTCCCTAAACTGATCTCTTTTCATTGGCATCAGATCTTGCTTGTGACAGCGACCCAGCTACATTTTACTTTAGGAATCTCAAACACTCCAATAAAGGTCATTCTGGTCTTTTATTCATATCTGATACAGTGACATTCAATGAATTTTGCAACACTCCAATATTTGTATTCTTTTATATCTGATCGCAAGATTGCTTATAAATCTTATACGACATTTTTGTGCAATATTTGTACTTTATTTTTACTTAGAATGTTGTTTTATGACACAAATGGCAGTCTGTTACAATGGGAACAGATAAAATGTATATATACTACAGTTTAGATTAAATAAAAATAAAATATTTATTAATTTTTTTCTGTCTAGGATGGCTGGATAGCGGGCGACTATTTGGTGACCAGTTCCAGTTGTAGTGGAAGCGGCAGCTCCGGCGCAACTGGAAAAGGACTATGGTTTGGATCTTGATTTTCTTGTCTTTTACAAATGTATTTTAATAAGCTATTACCTGTAAACCAAATATTCAATATACAGTAGAATATTTGAACTAAATTTTTATGAGCAACATACAATACGTGCTAATGAGGACAAACGCAGACACAAGAAAAGACACGAGCATGCATGTAAACATATGCATAAATACATTCAAACATGTACAACATACACATTAAATATACTTTGAACCACATACAAAGTACCGGGAGCATACCGAGTACTGATGCTAAGATGATAATCCCTCTGTTACAGCACCAGTGCCAACATTCAAACTGTTGGCCGGGTTGTCCACGGCGAGGCCAAAGGAGAGTCCATAACTGGTCAACTGGCTGTAGCGTACACCATTGTAAACAGAGTGAAACACAATGGATACCCAAACACACTCAAGTAAGAACTTTTATTTATCGTCTTTAGTTTTAGTGCTGAAGTTGATAATAACTTTTATGTTTTATTGTAAAGTGCATTGAAATGTATGAAAATGGAATGCACTTTACGATATAACACATTATTATTATTAGTCATATTATTATTGTGATTATTATGATAACATCCTGACAAGGGGGCCAGCAGAATGGTCGGGTCGGGTAGACATGGAAAATCAGTAACCGAGTTTTATTAACAATCACTATAGGCCCCTATAAGTCCCAAATAAGGTTTACCTGGGAGTTCCACTAGATTCTATAAATAAACTTTATTGCCATATAATCACTGGAATAATTATATATATATATATATACTAGTAGTTGGTTAGATATTTATAGATCTTTTTAGTTTTTTCAGATGTTTGTGAATTAATTCGATTAGTAAGTAAGTCCTTTCGAGCGTATTTGTAAGTGGCATATATTTAATAAATTAGTTAGTCAATACGTGGGTGAGGTAATGTTCGTATAGAGCTTATACTAGTCATCTTTTTTTTTTTTTTTTTTGCAGCGGGGTTGTTTATCAACGATACTCCAGTGGTTACCAATACAATACCCTCGATGATTCCAATCACGACAGAGCATGGGCTTCATCCAAAGCCAACAACGACGCCACCTATCGTAGAGCAATCCAGGCCGCTGAAGACGCGTTGTGTGGCTACAAGTCCGACCCTACCGACTGCGCAACAGACTACTGCGCATACGATCCTTGCTCGGCGACAAAGCCCAATGCTTACTGGGACGTCTACAATAAGAAGAAGATCGGAAGCCACTGGTTCGTTTGCCGCAGATCCAAGACTGGCTAAGCAAAATTAAGTCAAATCTGTCTAACCATCAAAAATTGTTTCCAACATGTCTTTTGCGAGTTGAAAATAAATAATTGCATGTAAACGCCAATCCGTGTATAGGCTCAGTGTTGACTTTTCGCTGCGCAATAAGCATGCTCGTCAGAAATGTTGAAAAGTTCAAAATTTTCTACTCTTAATTTCGTTGCTTGGGTTTAGATTGCATATCAGGTTATCACAGAGCTACTTGAACTTCTAAACGCTTTTCCGTAAACATATACTATAAATAATACAAAGGGTTAATTTATTTCAACTTGTCATACTTAAAAACCGAACCACAAAAGTGATTGGACTCACACTGGCGCTTCTACTTTAAGGCCACACATTTTGTAAGCTGAGACTATTTTCCATTAACTGAATTAATAAGGTCGATTTAGAAGCGTGGCCTTACCACACAACTAATACTAACCCTAAACTTAGGCCTTGAAATCACTCCCGAGGTTCTATATCAGCTGCTATTGCGAAAACATCAACACATAGGCTATAATTGCGCGCAATATTGATCTCACACGTGTACATATTTACAAACGTGGAAATAATTCAAGAAATATAAAAACTGCACATTAAAGATCTTAAAGAATCTGAGATTAGGTAAATAGATATAATGCCTTTGAATACATCTTTTATGTTATTTTGGGCAGACCCATTAAATTCAGCCATTAAATGCTTTGAAGAAAGAAGGGTTTTTGTAACTGCCATTGGTCTGAAGGAAAAAGGAACTTAAAACAAAAATTAATTTATTGTCAGTCCAGCTTTTCTTATCCTGACAGGCTGGTTGTAAATAAAAATGTGTTGGGGTGGTGGGCTCATGCCCTAGTTAGATTCCACTTTACCAAAATAACACGATTCAGAGCTGGGCCTCTGAGGACGTGTATTTGACAGCGCCCCTTGCATAGTTGAGAGCGACTTTTTGAGTGTGTAAGGCTTCTCGCCTTTATTATGAGGAAAGATCGTCTCTGATAGGAAGGTAGGTGTCTCACCTACATAGTATCAGATTTATAGATACCGGTCTACATAGGGTGCCCTGATTTAATAACTGGAATAAATCGACACGTTTGATTAGAAACTCAAGAACACGCCTCAGAAATTGTAAAGTAATATCAACGCCCTTAAGGTTGTATCTCATAATATAGGGTAGTGTAGTTTGAAGTGCAATATAATGCACAAAATCCAAGATTTCGTATTTAGGCGATTTTATTGGGTAACTTATTACTGGCATTGTTTTTTCCTTAAGCTGTTGCCCTTAACAAATTATTGACAGATATCGACACACCAAAACTTTTGCACACATCGTGATGAATGAGTAGAGGTCCTGGATCGTATTTAAACAATTGTGCCATAATTCAAAACTCGTACTGGTGCCTGCTCCTTTCTTGCCTTTAAGCGTAATTTAGTTTCCAAAAATATAGTTTATACAACACGTGTTTTATACGAAAGCCTTTTATTCATCCCCATTTAAAAGAGAAACGAACTACGGCGAGTTTTTTTTTTTTTTCGAACATATTCATATTCTGTTTCAAGCAATTATTCTGATACATTGTTACAGCTGTTAAATATTGAAACCAAGTCCCCTTTTCACAAAGAATCTTAAATTCGTAGTTGACTACACCAAATTCTTAGTCAGGAAAGTTGACTTTTTTGTGAAATTAAACAAGCATTCGCTTCACAAGCAAACTTTAGTCGGGTTTCCCGACTAAGAGCTTGGTTACAAATATTATTAAGTCCGTGAGTCACTACGTCGCGTCTCACAGAAATTCTTAAAGGCCGCTGCTTCGTTTAACCATAGCTGAAAGTTAACGAAGCCTTAACTCTTCTGGAGGAGTTAGTGTGCAAGCTAAACTAAAACTAAATAAGAGCATAATCAACAAAAATTTGAAAAAGGTTCATACCTTCTTCAAGGTATTGTGTTAAATATATTTGAATGTTACTTAAATTTATTGAATTTTCTAATAAAAATTGAATGTAACATCATCCAGCCGATCGGATTCATGTACTCTTGACTAATAGATGTCCGATGGCAGCGTTTCAAAGCAAGGTAATGTTAAACTTTATTTTCAAACGTCATGTCATGTGAACCTATCCGGATTTTACACCTCATATATTTGAAAAGTTTCGGTAGCAAATGTTAGCCAAGTTAACTACCGTAAATAGGACCAAAGATTGTTTGTGAAACACTCCCAGTCAGCTACAGCGTAGTTGACCTTGCTAGGTCACATAGCTAAGCCTAGTCAACTACGGATTTAAGAATCTTTGTATAATTGGAGTCATGGACCATATTACGCTGCGTTCTTGCCTTCATTTTCTTTGAAGTCGAAATTCTCCGTTACATTGCAAACTTGTTACGTTAAAACATCTTTATTGTTATTTTCAAAATGCAGTCAAGACATTGCCATCTGACCTAGCTATTTTGTGTCACATAGTAGGGTGAATACATGTCCTCAGGTTCAAAAAGTTATCGCCAGTCGTGACTTAAGAGCCCTGCAATACATGTGCGTCTTTGCCGTTAACGTTCTACCGCTGACCCCAAAAAGGACAGGAGCGGCACCTTGGCCTAGGGGTTCACAGGGGCAATTAGGACGAAGAAAAAAGCTGCTTGTTAATCTTCTTTTGTTTAGCTCGTAAAATGTACGCAGACATTCTAAGCGTTTTCACGGGCGAAAGTTATTAATAGAGTTAATTTGGCCATAAATTATTTAGGACCCATTTATAGGCGAAAACTGTTGACTCCAAATAAGAAAGAAAGCAAAAGGTAATATGCATTCATCGGGGATTTTATCGTCGCTCTCCTCATCACGATTAGTCCGGACATAGCTTTATAAACCGATGCGGTCGGACTTTTCGTCACACTTGCCTACAATCTCTTCAGACAGAGAGAACTTACTGTACGATAATGTTCAGTTTTCGAGGTGGCGTTTTGCTTCTGTGCATCTTTCTTAAATTTGGCCGAGGACAGAATATCCCATCGGTCAATCAAAATCAGTTTTCCAAACTCCTAGAGTTTGTAAAACTTCAGGTTCAAATTGAGAAAATCAGCGATACTCTTCACAAGGAATGTCCAACTCTATTCCAGCATCCAGACGTCTCAGGCTTTTTAAAGCCAGTCATAGGTGGGTTTTGTACTTGTGTGTAATAAACTTAAATCTCTCTCTCTCTCTCTCTCTCCGTGTGTGTGTGTGTGTGTGTGTGTGTGTGTGTGTGTGAAATGATCATGCCCAATATTTAACTATATTGGTATCATTCAATTTCCGCCGAGGGGTTAAAGTTGTTAAATGTTAAAGGAAAAGGTAAGCAATTTATGCAAGAGTTTTTCTTTTAATTATCAATCTTAATTATTGGGTCTTTTATATTGTAATATTTATCCTTTATATATGTTGTTTCACTTCTTTATACCAAAGTTTTGAGCTTACTAGTCTGAAGGGCATCCTGATAAATAAAACCTGGATATATAATGTATTGAGGACTTTTTTGGATGAATACAACAAATTCAGATTGCACTGAAGTCAGCTCTGGTCCCTAAAGGGGACGTTGCGCATTCTAAGGCTGACCTTATTACGGATTGCTAAATAGATATTAAGTCCTGTGTGTTCAATCTTTCCTCTAGGATAAAAATGAACATGCCTTAATATACAATTTGAGAAAACATATATTTACATTGCAAGCTTCATTTAAAAAAAAATTCACTCTGGCCGATCCAACAGTATAAAGGCAATGGGGGTACAGTGCCGCGTTTAACAACCGCACTGCGTTTTGCAACCAACTTTTCTTTTTTATTTCACTGAAGCAGTTTGAAGAAAATCACGAATAACTGAGTAATGACTATGGTTCACGAATAAGAACAATAATAGGTTGCATTCGCGAGTCACGGGATTGAGGTTATTCACGGATCACGCTTAACAATGTGAACGTTTCACCGTCTCGGGAAATAAAGAAGTGGCTTTCACGGGTAACGAAAATTACCCAGTGGAACTCTCAGACATCAGATGTAGACAACGTTCGAACTGAGTGAGGTGGTGAACGTTGACATGCACACCAAATGACTTAAAACGCCCATTCTTTTATCATTTACACGTAGGAAAAAGACAGCTGTACTATGGCGCGTCGTGGGAGCATTTAGGTGTTAGGATTAGTCTTGCAGAGCATACTCTAGACTTTTTAACCCAAAGTTATCTGAAGTGCAAAGGTGGACCACTAAAAGTCACGACGCAAGGTGAGATACTACGTAATACCTAAAATAACAGGACCCTGATCATGATAATAAGAATGAAATATGTAAGAATTCTCATTTTCCCCTTTTAATATATCAAAGATATCAAAGGAGACTAACCATGTTTTGGTTGTTTAGATTTATAAGTGATACTATTTGATATATTAGTACTTCTACTAGTAATGGCACTAATACATCGGCAGGTAAATTAATATTTTAGTTGTCAATGAATACTCAATTAAGGCTCCATTCGTTCATTTCTCTTTCAGTTGATGTACAATTTTTATAAAAGACCGATTATAATTTTTCTAAAGTTATCTACGTTTATTTTGATTCCACCCCAAAAATATACAATTTATCGATAACGTCATTGTTTTTTATATTTATCGCCCTTCTTAGCTCCTGATCCATGTTACAGTCGACCGTGTCACAATAACGGGACGTGCTCGACCAATGGGAACTCCGTTACCTGCGCCTGTCTGCCTGGTTTTACTGGAACTACGTGTGACGTAGGTGGGTGCACGTGGACTGGTGTGACGTCACAGCAGTGATACCCCTACGTGTAGTAGATCGAATGCGTTAACAAAGCCTACACCTCTACAAAAAACGGCGTTTATTCATCAACAATATTTTACTTATATCAGCTTTTAATGATTTACCATCGTTACCGGGATATAAAGAATGTTTTGTAAACATTAACTCTGTCAGGAATTATTGGCTTTCAAAATCATTTGGTACCCATAGCAAATACCCTTATGTAAGTTTCAAATTGATTTAATAGATAATACAGACAAATGCATGAACACAAGCTGATGCTACCCTCTTGGTTCGACAAAAGAAGGATAATATATTGAAACACTTTTCACATATATTTTCTAGAGATCAATGAATGTTCTAGTCAACCGTGCCAGCGGGGAGAAACATGTGTGGATTTGGTAAACGGCTATCGATGCATCTGCCAAGTTGGACACGATGGAAAGCAATGCACTTTGAAAGGTATCGTCGCAGACAATGTGTTTTATTACTACCGATGCCAAGAAGGTTGTTTTCACCTCCATATGTCTGTCTTCCTGTTCGTCACCATCCTCACTCAAAATGTTATGAATGGGTTTTGATGAAATATTTAGGATAGGTCGCGATGGTGTGCTTAAAAGTGATAAGAGGTTTGTTGTCCTGTGCTTGCTGTTGTGTTTAAAGGGCCATACTCACCAACAATACACTTCACATTATAATTATTTAAAATGTTAAGTGATAATACAGAGGACTTTAAACTCCCAAACCCAATATAGAGGTGCAATCGAAGTCACGGGAATGCTCTTAAAAATATTTAGTGCACAGATTGCAAATTATGTCTTATTATTTTAAGGTCCCACGTGAAGAAGATTGTATCAAAGCTTCACTCTTCATGGAACCATGAATAATAAAAAATTTATTTATCTTCCATCCCCAAAAAAGGAGCATACGTTACTGGCACAAATGCAAACCGTTCAACTATGAAATGTTTTACTCACTTTGAAAATTCAATCATCACTGGTTTTGTTATTTGATGTAGCCTATCACCTACAAGTATAACGTTGTTAAAAATTATAATAATCTTCTGTGTAGAGCAATTAATTGTCTTTGAGCAACTTTAGTTTGCTTGTCATTGAATAATAAAAAACGGGGAAAATACACCCTAACGACAGTAAAATAAGCATTAAATAAAATATTTTTCCCCTCGTGCTCCAAATAAAACATCAAAAATGTCAAACAATCATGGAACCACAATATATTTTCGGTCAGCTCTTGCACCAAATACTTGAACAAAATGAAATATTGACAATTTCTAGGAAAGATTCGATACCTAGTACTAGCCATGACGCAAAGCCCCACGAGTTAAAGTTTAAATATTTATAAAAGCGTCCTTACGTCATGTTTAATTTACCAGGACTGAACCAGTACAAAATATATCGGAACGCAGTATAAAAATTGTGATTAAATGACCCGGAACATACGTTACCGTACGTTTTTGGAACATATAGTTACCATTTTCAACTTAAAAGGCTCTTAGCGTAATATAAAAGACATGGTAAAAATTAAAATTTGAATTTAAATTTAGACATTCGTAGATTTTTTGTTCTATATACATATATGTTTTAAATTCAATTATATTTTTTGACACTTCAGCATGTGAAATGCACCTCTGTATTGGGTTTGGGTGTACATCGTAGTAGTAGGAGAACAAACAAGTGATATTTCCCTTTAAAAGATATCTATGGCTTTTTTATTTGTCTTCTTAATAAGAAAAATTTGTTAAAAAAAGAGCAACATCTTGCATAGAAATCGTGTGTTGATATATAGTAAAATGTCTTGTTTCAGTGGTTGATCACTGTCGCAGTCAACCATGTCAAAACGGTGCAACATGTGTGAATGGAACTACAACATACAGCTGTATTTGCCCAAGAACGCACAGCGGAAGAAACTGTGAAAAACGTACGTAATTTATATTTAAAAATGTAACGCATTAAGTTATTATGTCACGTCATTTATAGTTTATAGCCGATGTAATTATGATACCCTTAAGAATGAATGAGTTAGAAACGTATGTTTTTTTCTCAGACATTGACGGATGTATTAGTAGCCCATGTCCCAGCGGAGCCACCTGTCAAAACCGCCATGGTCACTTTGAGTGTGTTTGCCCAGCAGGATTTGCGGGGAATCTTTGCCAGTATGGTAATTACGTGTGCCAACGTGGAGATAAGAAACAAACATCTCTCTCTCTTTTTGTTACACACACACACACTCACACACACACACACACACTTGCACGCGCACACATACACACACAAAGTGCCCGTCAGCATTCACAATACCATTTAAAGAAAATGCTACTTATCAAAGTAGTAATGCACTAATCGAACTTTGGTAAAATTCAAGCATAAGAAAGCCAATTGCTTTTTATGTTCAGCTTATAGACTAACCTTTATTCACATATAAATGTATAGTCGTTCTAAATTATGAACTCCAGCTGACGTAACCCGCTTGTTCCAGCAGGAGAACATGCCAGTTATACAATAAGGTACTTTTTGCACACACTGATATCTACAGTTTGTATGCGTATTTTTTAGAAATCAGTGAATGTGCCAGTCGGCCGTGCCAGCGGGGAGGAACATGTGTAGATTTAGTTAACGGCTATAGATGCATCTGCCCTGTTGGACATTATGGAAAACATTGTGAAGGTATAGTCGGAGGCGATGTTTTATCGTTTATTCTGCGTTGTATAACTCTTCTTGTAATAGTGTGCAATGCTGGTTGAATGATTACATTGGCTTACATAACAATATCGTATTTAAATTATGTTTAGTGTTTGGTTTATCTTTCATGGCAGAAATTACAGTTGGGATTATTCACATGCGAGGTATTACAAGCAGATGTGACATCGCTGGCATCTGTTAGAATGTCGAAAATGGTGACACACAATCGCAGTTACTTAGATTAATGGATTTTTTGGGGAAATATGCAAAGCAAATGCTGAAATGTTAAAAACAATATGAATAAAAAACTTCAAACATGTAGGAAATGAACCACAATGAACTTAATCAAAGAGTCGTTCTTAACAAAATGCAATTTACACATACGGGTAGAACTGTATGTATATCAATTACAATATTTCACGGCTTTTCTGCTATGATATCTTTATCGGAAGGTTGCTGTAAGAGATTGGTTGGAATCGTGTGTTCATCAGTTGTAAAAATTCTGTTTCAGTGGTTGATCACTGTCGCAGTCAACCATGTCAAAACGGTGCAACATGTGCGAATGGGACTACAACGTACAATTGCATGTGTCCTAAAGCGTACTCTGGAAGAAACTGCGAAAAATGTACGTACTAAACGGTATACCTTTACAAAAATAGATTGTAACTCATGTCATCGTATCGATATCAATAATACTTTGCTCCCAATATAACTGAATTCCGTATTTCACACAGCGATTGAAGTAACAAAGAAATTGGAGCCGGGGGGGGGGGGGGG